ATAGCTCCATGTGGTCAAAGTCATGTCACTCCCATAAAGATTACAGGGTTGCATCCGACAGAAATGGGAAAGCCTTTAATAATGTTTTATTGCTAGGAAATCCTTGATCCTGGAATGCCAGGCTTAACTGCATAGGGCAATGTAAACAAAGTTCGGTCCCGTCCCCCCCTTTTAAATCTGTTTTCTAGACTTTCGCCCTACTTCCCGCCTCTTCCTTTCTCAAGGTTTCCTGGCATGAACACGACAGCTGCTCCAAGGGTAGAGTTAAGTTTTCTTGTCAAGGTCGGATGGGATGTCTGTGAATTGATCTTCCCAGCATCATTTCAGACACAATTACAGCTCTACGGGGAACTGCTTTCGACTGGGTGGCCACATGGGAACACCATCCTTGTCTCTGGTGGGCTTCGTTTTGCTGTTTTCATAACTGGCATCTTATTAGCTCTTCTGAAGAAAAGTACAAACCTGGAGACACAATGTAGTGTAGTGGTTAGAGTGCAGGGTTAATGAAAAAAGGAAAAAGAACCGTGACAATTTAGCGCTTGGTAATATATTCATAAATCATAATATACAATAACAGAAAATAATATATATAGTGAATGTAGACGGTGGTCTCCGGAATGGTGTGCTGTTTCGACAACGATCTTCTTCTGAACAAGGATGTGTACATAAACTGTCTTTCAACAATTCATTTCTCTTGGTGACGTATTGAAAATATACTGTTGATTCACTTCATCATAAAGCTATGGTTACAGCTATGTTCTTCAATGGGCGGACTCCGTGGCACTGGACCCTGCTGAGGCCCCTCCCCTCCTGGATCCACCCCCAAAGCAGAATTAGGGGCTGTGGCTCCTAAGCCTCCTAAAAATAAAAGGGAGTTTGAAAAGAAACGTAAAGGAAGAAAATAAATATAATAATGTAACTCTGTCTGATACCTATTATTAATCAATAACTTTATTTATTTATTTATTTATTAGATTTTTATCCCGCCCTCCTGCCGAAGTGGCTCAGGGCGGCTTACAACCATTAAAAACCAGTAAAAATGAATACATCACGTCTAAAATCCATCAATAAAGAAGCCAATATAACTTATTAAGATTACAGTTAGAACATTACAGTTTGTACATGGCGGCCATCCTTTCTAAAGTGCTAGAACGATTGCTCTGGGCTATTAAACGCTTGCCGGAACAGCTCAGTCTTTACCGCTCTACGGAATTGGTGGAGATCCCGCAGAGCTCGAATTTAGTTGGGCTTTCAGAGCTTTCTTTAAGATAAGAAGCATACGCTTTAGTCAAATCTGTTTTTGAATGCTCACTTTATTCTCTACAATTTTATTGCACTAACTCTCATGTATTACCGTTTTGATATTAGGGAAACATCGATTAATTCAAAATATGTATTAATGATCTCTTGTTACTCGTAGTTTTGGGTTGTTCCCTTTCCCCGACCCCATAGAGGTTTAGTTTAGAAAATGCAATAAAAATCTTTTTTTAAAAAAAGAAAGAAAGAAAGAAAGAAAGAAAGAAAGAAAGAAAGAAAGAAAGAAAGAAAGAAAGAAAGAAAGAAAGAAAGAAAGAAACTTGCAGAGGGGCTTCAGGACAGTCGTTTTCTCTCAGGCTAGCCTACCTCGCCGGGTTGTTATGAGGATAAAATGGAAGAGAGGGGACTGATGTTGTAGCCTGATTTGGGGGTGTACATTTTTAAAAACAATGTAAAATGGGGGGACATACATGGCTTGATAGGGAGTAGGGCCATAGTTTGGTGGTAAGCACATTCCGAAAGTCTCAGGATCAGCCCTCTGGCATGTGCAGTTAAAGCAGAGGTGTCAAACTCAGAAGTCATTTCGGGGGGGAACGCAGGGGAACACAGTTTCCCTGGGTGAGGTGCAGGGGGGCGGGGCACATGATGAAGCCCTGCCCCCTGCTTCCGGCTGCCCGCTTCCAGCCCTCATTCAGCCAGCAGGAGGCAGGAGAAGAGGGAGGGTAAGTTGCTTCCTCCCCACCTCTCCCCACCCCTGCCTGCCTGGGGCCAGGGAGGACCTTGGCGGGGCTTCCTCGCACTCCCACTGGCCTTGCAGGTCCACCGCCGGGCCCCTGATGTCAGGGGGTGTGGCATATGCTAATGAGTTATGCTAATGAGTTCCCCTAGCTCTTTTTCTATGAAATGACCCCTGGTCAAACTCATCTGTTATGAGGGCTGGATCTGACATAAATGTGACTTTGTCGGGCCGGGTCATGTGTGCTATAAAATGTAATGCCAGGTACCGGAGATCATAGAATCATAGAACGTTAGAGTTGGAAGGGACCTTGCAGGTCATCTAGTCCAACCCCCTGCACTCTGCAGGAGCATAGTCGAAAGACAACCCTACAACATACCCGAAAGATGGTCATCCAGCCTCCGCTTGAAAACATCCAGCGAAGGAGCATCCACCACCTCCCGAGGCAGTCTGTTCCACTGCTCAACCACTCTTACAGTTAGGAAGTCTCTCCTGATATTTAGCCGGTATCGACTCCTTTGTAATTTCCACCCATCAGATCTAGCCTTGCAATCCGGAACAAGAGAGAATAGATCTGCTCCATCTTCTACATGACAGCCCTTCCAATATTTGAAGATTGCAATCAGGTCCCCTCTAAACCTCTTCTTTCCTAGGCTAAGCTGATATAAACTGAGTCATGTGCCTGATGGCAGGATTAGACCTCCAACCCTGAGCTGGCATGAATGCCGCTGCGGGGGTTCCCAACTTGCCATTGAGGCTGTCACTGAAGCAAAGGGGTTCTGCTTGCCTGCTGCAGACGAGGTTGTTCCACTTTTGTTGAAGCCACAATTGGAGTGGCCCTTGCCCACTCCCTTCCAAGCAGCCTCCTGTTCTCTCCCTTGCACCAGTTGCTCACTGGCCGGATAAGAACCTTGGACAGGCCGGTTCCGGCCCCTGGGCCTTCTGTTTAACACCCCAGAGCTAAAGGATCTCAGGCAGCAGGTATTGGGAAAGACCTTTGGAGGACTGGTGCCCGTCAGAGCAGAGAATACTGAACTTTAGATGAACCAGTATTCTGACCCAGTATCAGGCCGTCTGCTACGTTCAGCAACGTTTGGGATAATGAATGTCCAGGCTTCAGAATTACCCTCTTGACTTTATGAGCAGGATTGATTTGCAGTATTTTTGTGTATTCATATCTCTTCTTAGTACAGATCTGTGGGTTTTTGTCATTTGCCTTCCAAATAAATGCCTTTGCCGGGACAAACAGTTCCGCTTCGGCTAACCTCCCGCTCTCCTCTCTCCCTCCACAGGCACTGGTGTCACTACACGGTCACCCGGACAGTTTCCTGCCAGGTGCAGAACGGCTCTGAGACGGTGATCCAGAGGGTTTATCAAAGCTGCCGGTGGCCAGGACCTTGCGCCAACTTAGTGAGGTAAAAGCCCGCTTGGCCATTTAGCCTGACTGAACCCAGCTGGGGAGAGAGTGGTTCTTTGGGGGGGGGGGGGAATAGACAGCAGAGAGGAATCCACACCATGGCTCTCCAGGGGACTGGGGGAAAGCATTCCGGACATGGCCAGTTGAAAGCAGGACCTTGGCATTTGGCAACGTTCCTAATCCATCTTTTGTCGCGACTCTCTTCTCAAGCCACCGCCAGGGAGGATGGATTAAGGATTTCACAGTGTGTGTTCAGACCCCGATGTGTAGGATCATTATATGGCGGTTGCCATGTTTTTAAAGGGACTGGATGGAGGATATTTGCATTGCTTCTAGCTGCGGAGAGGCTGTGGCTCAATGGTAGAGTACGTGCTTGGAATCCACAAGGTCTCCATCATCATCAGTTGAAAGGATCAGGAAGGAGGTGATGAAGAAGAAGAAGAAGAGAATGGATTTATACCCCGCCCTTCACTACCCAAAGGTGTCTCAGAGCGGCTTACAAACTCCTTTCCCTCCCCCTCCCCACAATAGACACCCTGTGAGGTAGGCGGGGCTGAGAGAGCTCTTGACAGAAACTGCTGTCTTTTTCAAGAACAGCTCTTATCAGAACTACGGCTTGCCCAAGGTCACCCAGCCAGGTGCAAGTGGAGGAGTGGGGAATCAAACCCGGTTCTCCCAAATTAGAGTCCGCGCACTTAACCACTACACCAAATTGGAAGACATCAGCCTGAGAGCCCAGAGAGCTACTGCTGGTCGGAGTAGACTTTAATAGACCAAAGCTTCATAGCTGTCATATGTTGAGTTCAACCTTTCCTCTTTGGTGTCGTGGTTTAGAGTGTAGAATCTAATCTGGGAGAACCGGGTTTAATTTCCCACTCGTCCACATGTGGCTGCTGGTGTGACCTTGGGTCAGTCATACGTTCTTTCAGAGCTGTTCTCTCACGGGCAGTTCTCGAGAGAGCTCTCTCAGCCCCACCTGCCTCACAGGCTGTCTGTTGTGGGGAGGGGAAGGGAAGGGGGCTGGAGACCACTCTGAGACTCCTTCGGGTAGCGGAGGGCGGTGTATAAATCCAGTCTCTTCTTCTTCATCATCTTAGATCTGCAGCAATAAGCACCTGATTGTGTTCAGCTCTGTGCTACCTATTCAGTACATTTTTATCCTGTCTCCCATGCGACGAGTTCAGGGCAGCATACATGGTTCTCCCCCCCCACTTATTCTCACAACAACCCTGTAAGGTAGGTTAGGCCCAGAGGTAGAAAATGGCTGACCCATGGCAGAGGGAGGATTTTAATCCAGATCTCCCAGAACACTCTGACCCAGGCGGCCCCACCACGGTGCCCATGAGTGCCCGGATTCCGAGGGACACTTTTCCCAGCATTGGCCACGTGTTTTGGGAAGTGGGCAGGGACAGTTGGGGCTTTCTCCTAGCAGGGCTTCTAAATGGCCATTGGAGATCTAATTGAGGCCCAGTGCGGTGTGTTAGTTAAGAGTGTCAGACTAGCCTCTGGGAGACCAATTCGTGCCATGGAAACCCACCAGGTGGCCTTGGGCCAGTCACACTTTCTCATTTTAACCTATCCCACCGGGTTGTTGTGAAGATAAAATGGAGGAGGAGAGAATGATGTTAAGCTGCTTTGGGTCCCCGTTAGAAAAGGGGCATAAATGGATTAATGAAATAAATGATAGTGAAACTGACTGTGCAGATTTTTACAAAGTTTCTTGGGCAGCTGCCGCCGCCACAACACAAGGATCTTCGCGATGTGACTGAAGGGAAGCCGTGCCTTTGCAAGAAAACCTTTTAAAGCAGTTTGTTCATTTAAAAGGGTATCCTGTTAAGCAGAACTTCCACCTGGCCTGTTGAGTCGCTATCAGAATTTTGCACGACCTCCGCCTCCCTGACATTTTTGGTTGGCTCCGCCACCTGCGGCAGCCATTTTGTAATTGGGCCCACCACCCTCCATCAGCATTCCAAATAGGGTGGTTTGCAATGCTCCCTGTAAGCTGTAGAGTCTTGTGAGCAAAAACTCTACTTTGTGAGCTACTGGCATAAAAGTTGTGAGCAAGCCATTTGGCCACTGCATCAATTAGCTTGTGAATCAGAGCAGCAGACTCCTGAAGATGTTATCTTTTAAACTTGACTCAATTCTGTGGGAATCATAGCTCACATAGCATCTATGTATAGGTGATCAGATTTAGTACTAACTTAGTTTGTTATGACTGTTGAGGTATGTTGTAAAAATTTGTATTGATGACTAACTGGTTGGTTTGTAATTTTGGATTTTCAGGACAGTTGTATACTGTTTTGCAGTTATTATATTTCTTGATATGTTATACTTCCTCTTAATAAACATAAAAAGGAAAAAAAATTCCTGAGCGAAGGCAAAAATGTGTGCGCCGGAGGCTAAAAAACTGTGAGCTAGCTCACACTAACTCAGCTTAGAGGGGACATTGGCCAGGTCCCTTCGTTGTCCCCGTGGGGGGATTCGGGGGGCTGTTCCAGGGGTGGGCGAGGACATCACGCAACACACTGATGTCACCTGGAAGTGAAAACAGCCTCAAACCATAGAGTTTTGCCCCAAAAGCAAAGCACCCACCCCCAACATCACCGATATGCTGATGTCACTTCCGGTGATGTCAGCACGTTGCGCATGATGTTGGGGGGTGGGGGGAATGTCCTCCTGTTGGCCAGCTGCCTGGCGGTGGGCAGAAGCCCATGAACGTGGGGATCCCCTGCCCTCACCTGGGAAATGGTATCCCTAATTCTAAAGGTGCCTGCAGGCATAAAAATGTCGGGGACCCCTGTTCTGACCTGTACACAGCCAGGGTGGCGTAGTGGTTAGGAGTGGCGGACTCTAATCTGGAGGACCAGGCTTAATTCCCTCCTTCTCCACATGAAGGCTGCTGGGTGACCTCGGGCCAGTCACAGTTCTCTCTCAGAACTCTCTCAGCCCCACCTACCTCACAGGGTGCCTGTTGTGGGAGAGGAAGGGAAGGAGATTGTAAGCCACTCTGAGACTCCTTAGGGGAGAGAAAAGCAGAGTGTAAAAACCGACTCTTCGTCTCCTTTTGCTTCCCCATAATTCAGAATATTTCAGAGTTTGGCGTCTCACTTTGTGGCGCAATGCAGATATACAACAGAAGCCCTTTTTAAAAAAATTATCATACATTGCAATAAGGGGGAAAAGTTCTCAGTTTACAATTAGGAACCTCCCCCTCCCCTATCTGCCTATAAACATGTCTCAGTTAATCATCGGAATAGAGTTTTAAATCCCCACAGTGTCTGGTGAGAAAGGCAAAATGTTATATATAGAAAGGGAGGCTGAGCCAAACTCTATACGTTGCCAGCCCGGCTCTGCAGGACGCATCTCTGTTTCCTTTCAGACTCTCCAAATGAGGGTCGGGTTTTTGTATCCTTCTCTTTAGGCTGTGAGGTTTGTCTTTAGACTTATCAGAGCAAAATCTGACCTTCAGACTGCTGTTTTAATCCAAGGTACTTCTTTCACATACCTTTTCCCGCCAAAAGACACCCCCCCCCTTCTCTCTGTTTTGCTAGCTTTCCGTATGCAAGGGTTTTTTAGCATGGCGGAGCAGTCAGTCGTGTGAGTCCACACCTGAAACATTTTGTTTTGTTTTTTAAATTTTTGTTATGAGGCACAAGAGCGACATTGTGCTCTTGGCTGTCATGAAATCAGCAGCATTTTTGGCACACACAGTGTTCGTTTTGAAGATCTTTGTTTGGTGTCGACACTGCAGAGGTGGGCTGCTGTGTGATTATTTCATTTATGCAACCCCCCCCCAGTTAGGGTTGCCAAGTGAAAAAATCGTCGCAGCGGGGGGACTCCCGGCTTGCGGCTTGAGTGCGTGCGCACGCCGCCTGCACATCACCAGGAACTGATGTGACAACGCTGGGGCTAAGTTTTCCCTCGGATGGTCGTGGCCCCGCCCCCAGCGTGCCCGGCGTCGTCATGTCACTTCCTGGTGACGTGCACGTGGGAGTGGGGTTCCCCCCAGGGCCAGATCCGCCACCGGCGGGGAATGGGCCCTGGGGCGGGGGTTTCCACGCGGGGGTTTCCACGCCTACCCCCAGTTCATAAATGACTTGGCAAGCCTACCCCCAGTTCATAAAGGAAGTGCTTGTATGAAATCTAGGGTTTCCAGTTCCAAATTGAGGACTACCTGGAGATTTGGGGGGGTGGAGCCTGAGGAGGGTGGAGTTTGGGGAGGGGAGGGATTTCTGTGGGATACAGTGCTATAGAGTCCGCCTTCCACAGTGGCCATTTTCTCCAGGTGAAATGAACTCTGCCGCATGGAAATCAGTTGTAACCTCAGGAGATCTCCAGCCACCTCCTGGAGGTTGAAACAAAATCATTTACTGTAGTAATTCTGTAGAAAATTCTCTTCTATTATCACTCACACGCTTGCACAGTTTTCTATAGAATTACTCAGGGGTAATTTCCTGCGGGAGCACACAGGAGCGGAGCTCCGGCAGTAAGGAGCCCAGGGGGCAGGCACATGCAACAAGCCCCACCCCCTGCTCCCAGCAGCCCTCAGTCGGATCATGAGGAGCAATAAGCAGCCAGGTAAGTTCTAGAGGGCCCCCCCCCCGGCCCACCTTCAGGTACAAGCGCTCCCTCCACTGTGAGGGCAGGTCTGCGCATCCCCCCCCCAATAGCTAGCAATCCAAAACAGTCCAGTGGCACCTTTAAGACCAAGTTTTATTCAGGCACAAGCTCTCCCTCCTCTGCGAGGACAGACCCACATCCCCCCCCCCCCAATAGCTAGCAATCCAAAACAGTCCAGTGGAGCCTGAGCGGTGGGTGTTGCCTTCTGACACACTTCCGGTGATGTCAGGGTGTGTGGCATGTGCAAATAAGTTATGCTAATAAGTTATGCTAATGAGCTCCTGCACTTCTTTTTCTACGATATGACCCCTGGTATTACTACAGTAAATGATAGTCAGGACTCACCTTAAAAATAGCTTGGTGGGGGGGTCAAAC